TCCTAACATATAACTTTATTGATGAGATTAATAGCAATCCCTACAAAGTCTCATACTGGAATTGGAACAAGAAAGTGATACAGAGGCTCATTTTCTGGACATTACACTTACGAATGATAGTATCATCACAGGCATTTGCCTGTAATGATACTACCATTCCAAAGTGTAATGTCCAGGAAGCCATCCTACAATTCTTTGTTCTTCCTACAATCCAACTCAACTATAAACTGGCAGCATTTAGGGCTTTGATCAGGAAGACCTTCACACACTGCACAGATATCCATAATAGAATAAAGGAATTCGACCATATTGTGTCCCTTGGTGTACAATTTGGCTATAAGCATAAGACCATTAAAGCACTCATTGATACTTTCCAACAAAAAATGGATTGTTCCAGGATTGATTCACAGATAGAACACTTAATCATTAACTACACCTCTCCCCATGGAACATCTTCAAGGGTTAAGGGGGCTAAGCCTTATTATTAAGCCTTATAAGGGCATAACATTGTGTATAGGAAAAACAGAACCATTTACAGAATGCTGAGAAATGATAAGGATTCTCTGGACATGATGCAGGTCCAGGTGTCAACCTCTGATCCATTAATGGAATAGTGTAAACATATGACCTCTTCTACGTTGGGTCACTCTAAGATCCCTACAACAGCATTTAAAGGAGCACCAGGATAACATCAGAAAATTCAACCCGGCCACTGCCTTAGCAGTCAATGCTATCACCTATCAGATCTACAAAGGTCAAATGAAACCTGGCTAGAATTATACAAAAAATGGGAAGCCACAGACATATATACCTTCCAAATTTACAAGACTTTGACAAGGTTGTTCTATCAACTTCAGGGATGTCAACTCTCTTTTGGTGGCCTGGAAGTCCCTTCATGAATACTTGACAAGAAAGTGACTTGTAGCCCAATGACAAAAATTGTGTGGACTGTTAAGGTACAAAAACCAATGTTTTTTATTTTCTTTATTTTTGTATTTATTGTAGTTATATGTATTGATTTTACTTTGTTACAGTGTAATTATTTTTTAAATTACTTCATAGTTGTCTGTTCTTTTTATGATCGGTTAATGGTCCTATTGCAGCATTTAAAATTTATGTTCTAGAATGTTGGCATTTTAAATAATGTATAGCATTTCATTGCATATTATACTTGAGGAAGATCATTAAAAACAATTGAAAACATTATAGTTATTAAATTTTTTGCTGTTTTAAGGTTATTGGAGTGTGTTTAGTCTATTTGTGATTGATTGTAGTACCATATTTACTTGAATGTAAGATGCAGTTTTTTTAGATTTTAGTATTTCAGAAAATGAGCTGCATCTTAATTTGATGTAATAGGTTATAATGTATTATATCAAATCAAAACAAACAAACATACATACATACATACATAATGGGTCTCTAGTGCCATGCATCTTATTTCTCTATCACTAATTCCATTGCATCATTTTAATGATTTTATTAGACCAATATTTGCAATAGAAAACATTTAAAAGTTTAACATAGCTCAATCCCAGAAAAAGATGCACAACACTCTTTCAAGAAATGTTGCATTTCCAATACTTTAAATGGCACCAAGTATGATCGAATATGATTGCATGTGGAAAGATGTAAAATTGAATCCAGTGTTGATTAGTAAACTAAAAGTAATATTCAGAAACATGATTAAAACAAGTGTTGATTCAGAACAGCCTAACACAACAAGTGAAGAGGTTCTCAATTTTGATATCATGAAGACAGTAATATACAGTATAACTCAACAAACTTTATTTGACATAAATTTGTCTTGTCCATTTAAAAATATCCATGAATGATGCATGTAGAAATTAAGTTACATCTTAGATTCAAGTAAATATGGTAATTATCAATGATCAATTAGTTATTTTCACTGAAATATAATATATTACAATTATCTGTTTAAAAAACTGCAATGTAGCACAGTAATCAACACATGGCATAACTCATTCATTTATTCCAGCTTTTGTTGATCTGTTTAAAAACTGCAATGTAGCACAGTAATCAACACATGGCATAACTCATTCATTTATTCCAGCTTTTGTTGAGACGCATTTCTATACACGTTTCTTTTGTTGAGACGCGTTTCGTTATAGAAACGCGTCTCAACAAAAGCTGGAATAAATATAAAGATATAAAGATACAACACGGTTTCGAAATATGGAAGAATATTACAATTATTCAATTGATGTTCATGTAATGTAATACTAGATTCTAATATTTAGATACTAAAATATTAAAATCTTTTCTTAATATTAGAAGCTCCTCAGTTTTCCCACATTCATAAAGGTAATTCTTGGTTAATATGGTAGATATGTTCTTTGAAAGAAGAAAAAAGTATGAAGAGATATTCCTAAAGAAATCCTAATAGTTATTTCCTTTAGAACTGAAATACTAAAATATCAATGCTTAATACAAAAACTGTTCACAATTACATTTAACTAAACAGTTGTATGTATTTAGTTTTGTGGAAATAAATTTGTCGTAAAAAAGATGTATTAAGATTATTTGAATTAATGTAAACAAAATTCACAAAAAATATATAAAAAGTGATTAATTCACAAAAATAAATCATGATTATTAATCAGAGTAAGGTATTGTATATGATTTTTAAAAGAAAGATTTGAAAACAAAGATAATTTCCTTAGATCAATTAAGGAATGGCAAACATTTGATACAGCAGTAACAAATTATTTTAGTTTAGTTGTTCTGACTATAGATTAATTTAAAAACAAATGTAGGATCTTTAGTAAGTTCAAAATACTTATATTAGCAAAATTGAGGCTGAAGTTTTAAATGTGAAAACATGTATGTTGGACGTTCAGTGCTGCTTTCCTGTAAGCCTAGAAGTTTGACAATTGTGTTTGGAATGTCGAGCATGATTCCACTATCCAAACACCATTGTCAAACTTCTANTCTTTCTTCAGGATTCCTTTTTCTATGTGTAGTTTTTTGCATTTGTCTAAGCCAAACTCCATTTGTATGTCCTTGGTGTATGAATGTGTAATTTGTAGGAGTTGATGAAGTTGTTTCTGTGTGGATGCATAAAGTTTTATGTCGTCCATGTACAAGAGATGCGACAGCGTAAACTGTGTTGTTTTTTCATGTCTGATATTGTAACCATAATGCGTGTTGTTTAACATGTTGGATAATGTTATTATTATTATTATTATTATGTTGGGTTTAGTGGATTATACTCGGTACACACCGGCGGCTGTGTACTATGCCGGACCAGAGTCAAGGCATAGCAACCAAAACAAAACTAAAATTAAAGAAGTGTGTCAGTGTCAGTGTCTGTATTAAGGAATTTCCTAACAATATGGCATGTATTCAATATAGTATGAAGGCATAGAGTCTTTACTACATGAAAATGAAAATTAATGAATACACTGTGTACAGTAATTTACCTGATAAGACAGACCTCAGAAAAATACTTTATGAGGCATAAAGCTGTCTATAATGAAAATTAATTAACTAAGGATTTTTTTGCCCTGCCAGGATGTGGCCGAGTTATCCGGACTGCCGGGTTATCGAGACTCTACTGTATTGTTTTTACTTCAGCTTTCACTACATACTTATTTTTCCGGAATCGTCTGATACAAAACGATCGATGCATACAATGGAATTCTTTAGGCCTACTCCACCAAAATTTTCTCCAACCACCCTGCTCGTAATACGTCTTTTGGAAGACTAAAAATGGTAAGTTCCTACAGTCATATTTTCAACCGGTTACTTCACAGCACTGAACATTTTTGTTAATAATTTACATATAATTATTCTCTCGATGTTCTGAAAAAACGAAATCATAGTTTCATGTAATCTTCATATTATTTTATTACAAGTTATCGAGATATTATTTCTAATAGACTATTACTTCGACGCCTTTTAACAAAAACACAAATATGTTTGGAGGTATTAATTTTATTGTTTTGAAACGAGTTTAAATATATTAAAATTATGGTTAAAATGGCAATTTATATATATTTTATATTTTTAAAAAATCTTTCCACCCTGTGGGCACTAGGAAGGCCTCTTTTTGCAAGCCCATTATGGGTTCGGCCAGGCCCACAATGGGGCTGCCGGGTGGTGAGGGCCGGGGCCCCGACATGTCCGAGCGGTCCACCCCCCGAAAAATTCCTGAGGATTTTTCGACCCGTTCGGATTCGAGCCCGGGTCCCCAGAGCGGTGGGCTGTCCCTTATATTTTAATATGGTAAATTAAGTATACACTATTACCTAAAGTTTTACCGAAAATATTTACAGTAATTGAAATGAACTACTCACCGAGAAATTTGCCCGATACCATCGGTCGTTTAATAAGTTATCCCATATCCAAAGATCGGTCCTTTACTCTGGCAAAATTTCAAGTATATCTAACGTATTTGGATAAAACACGCATCGAACGGCAGTTAGCACTAAGCCGGTCGGGCGATAAAAGCGCGCCTTGACCCGGTTACTAAACGTACAATTTGGGTTATGGGTGGATCTCGTATAATACAAGCACGCAGGCATTGCTTTTTTATTCCTTCCACTCGGGAGTGGCGGAATAAAGAGCATGGCGTGCGCGGACGCGGCAAACTCCCTCGAATGCCACCCACTACGGTTATCGGAACAGGAATAAAAACGCCAAAGCCCTAAAAAAGGAGTTCGACATTATATTAATGGGGGTTTGAAAAATGCGACGCGTGACGAGGGGGGTTAAATTTGACCAAAAGTGGCGCCACGCGGTTTACGGACGACCGGTAAGGCGGAAGGTGGGGACGAAATCTTTACGGAGTCTCAGACGGTCGGTAAGTCTGCAGCCGATTTTTACGAATGGTTGACGGTCGAGTGATTAATTTTTAATAATTTTCCAAATAAAAGTCGCATCCGAAATTTAAATAGTAAATTATCGACACCGGAAATCAGATCCTGAAAGACTGGGTTTATATCCAGGTTTTCGTCGCCAAAAGAAGTTAAAAAGGGTCAGAGTTAAAGAACGTTTTATTGGCCAGAGTGAAACACAAGGTAATGTCGGAAGCCTCGAATCGTAACTTTATTTCCCTGTTATACGATAAAGCGAACATTCATACAATTCGGATATTTACACGGAAAAAGCTCAGCTTCATATATATATATTTCTTTTGTTTAGCTACACGAGAGGCATCAAATGTTTTACACCGTGTCTTAAACGGGTTCCGAACAGATTTAACAATCGTTACTTCTTAACCAATTAAATACTTCCGGACGAAACAAATGGGTAAAGTGACGACCGACGAATTTAGAAGGAAGAGATTCAGTAAAACTAAAATACATAAGCATTAAAAAAAATAACAATATACGGTAAGAAAATAATATTTAACATGTATTTTTACATATTTTCGATTCGTTTTATTACTTTCCTATACTATAATTTCTTATTTGTCGTAAACATTCCACTTAGATTCGTACTTTATGTCGATTTTTAATTCCTAACTTTAAAACTAATTCTGCTTATTATTATTATTATTATTACTGGAAGTACAATTATTTATATGCTTAAATTTCGATACGACGATAATTTAAAGGTGTCCCGCACGGCCGTACGATCCATTGGCGTTCTCGTTTGCGCACAAATCATCACAGTCCTTTTTTATATATACAAATGCTGCCAAATGCAAGAAAGATCGACGACTGCGCCGCCGGCAAAAATAGCGTCACGCTCTTCCGGGTTTATTGCTGGGTTTTAAACCGTGAAATAAAGGGTTCCACGTACGCAGTACACCCCTCGTCGCCCGTCCGAAATAAAGAAACTGCAGTCGGCCGGGATGCCCACCCGAATGGGCTCGGCAGAAAGTAATGCAGGTACTAAAACAAAATAGAATTTGCACTTTGCCAGCGGACGGGACGTTCTCCCTACGACTAGAAGGGGTATTCCGTTAGACACGTGAGGTAGTTGTCGGGCACGGTTACCATGCGCAATGGTCCGAGCCGGCGCTTTCTTTGCCCTAATAAATAACCGCAGTGTTAAAAAAAAGTGGAAAGTCGGAGTGGCGGGCAACGAATTCCGCAGTCGTCGACGAGAGGTGAGCAAATACGAGGAACAATATGTACAAATAGGAACATAACGATTTCGTATCGTAACTAGAATTTAAAATATATATTTCAATTTTAACTTTTCCCATAAAACACGCACTTCTCTTTCTCTCTCTCTCTCTCTCTTTCCGTAATGCAAAAAGTCGAGTACTTCTAACAAAATATTAACCACACCGTGCTCCGGTAGCACACCGACGCCATCGCCGGTCGTTCACAACCACAATTATATACATATTTTTTATATAATAAATGAATAACCATTAAGTTGCCGCCGGGCACGCGTACAAATATTTTACACGTACGTACACGGGTACAAAAGAGTTCCGGAAACTGTACAACTATCACAGAGTTACTACTACTATCAGAGAGTGATGTGACTGGTTCTCCTGCGCCTGGGTGCCCTAATGCCCATGTTCCCGTGCGAAGACAGTCCCCTGACGGTGATGAGGGCGGTGCCCAGACTGAGTCTAACGGGCGCGCTCAGTCCTCCCGGAAGTTGGACCAGGACGGTGGCCAGAGCCGCGATTCCGTCGGAGACGGGTTCCACGGCCACGGGTCTGGTGCCGTATCTGTCGTCGCCGTACACTTTGGGCGAGTCTCGGCCCGGGTGGCCCTTGTGTTTGTGTTTCTTCCGATAGTTATTGGGGGAATAGGGGTAGAAATCGTAGTCGTCCATTTCCTCCTCGATGACGGCCACGATCCGGGCGAAGGGCCGACTGGCCATGTGCTTCATCTCGGCCGCGTGTAGACGTCTGGCCCGGCGCACGTCGAAGGCCTGCTTGACTTTCCAGATGACCACGCAGATGGCCAGGAACAGGAAGAAACACGAGAAGAAGACGGAGAAGAAGACGAAGAGGTCGATTCTGGTCTGGTCTTGTCTGAAGAACAGACTGCCGTAGGTGACGTCGGAAGTCTTACTTCCCACGCCGTGGATCACCATGTGAAATCGCGTCATCCTCAGGTCATAAACTCCCTGCGGAATGGTTATGACCAATCTGTTCTGCAGATTGCGAACGCGCAGAAATTCCTGCGCGTCGGTAATGGTTATATAAGTGGTCAGGCCTTTGGCCCTACTCTCTCGTAGTTTCAGCGGAGGAGACGGAGAGGGAGAAGAATCGTTGGCCAGATCGCCGTTGATGTCGTCCGACGGAGCCTCTCGCTTCCCCACTTTTCTGTCCTTGATGGCCAAATTCGTCTGATGCAATTCGTTTTTCTCTAAAGCGGTTCCTACCTCGATTCCCGACACTCTGTCGAACGTGATGTAGTGAATTCCCGTCGTCTTGTTGACGTCCACCACAAAGGTGTCTTCTTTGTAAGACAGATAGAAATCGGCACCGCCTTCCGTCACGTCAACGATGACGCGGATGTCCACGTTCATGTATCTAGGTTGCACCGCGAAGAACACCGTTCTCCCCCGAAGAAGAGGACTGGGTTTCCTATTACATTCCTCTGCAAAATAACCATATTATACTATTTCCGCCTGACTTTCAAACGTATATAAAAATACTAAGCCGAGAACTTACCTTGAGTATTTGGATCGAAGCAGTACTCTTTATCCAAAAACATAAGACGATAACATTGATGTCCGTTAGTGGGAACTCCGAGGAAGTACTCTTTACATTTGGAACACTAAAACATAATTTCTTCCGTCAAAATGTATTCGAAATAAAACGATGTCTATTAAGTATTGCGTACAGTACGTACGGAACAGCCCGACAAAAACCAGATCGGATAGTATTAATACGTACCCGGCCCTGGCAAACCGAAATACTGTTTTGTAGATATCGCCGTGCGGTGGAATCCGGCTATTATAATCGCGGATAATGTTATCGTAATCGGTCGGTTCGAAAACACTACATAACATTAGTTTATAGTAATTGGCCTAGTATAATCGAACTTGGGCTATTGTTATAACTGCGATTGGGGACGAACGATAAGAATGGTTAGAAAATCGTACTAAATGGATCTTTTCTTCAAAACTTACTTTTAACCGAAGCCTACCTTCTACCTTTTACTTACCGTGTACGCGACAGGATTTCTTCGGAAATATGTAAATCGGATTTTTTCTCAAGTGCACTTTTTATCTTTTCGAAACACATTCTTGTGATTTCTCTGATTTAATTCTGTGATCTCGATTTTAAGAGTTCAGTATAAAGTGCTCTATAAAAATACTCTGGATTGTGGCAGAAGCAAAGCAAAAGCGGAGATTAGTCTCTTCTAGAAAGCGAAGAATACGAGTGTCACGATCAGTTGTCCAAAATAAGTCTAAGTAGTGCGACTGTGCATTTAAACATTACCTAATTGTGATTTTTTAATAAGAAATCTATCATCCGTTTAAATTAAAATAGAAAATATTCATAAGATTCTATTATATGTCAAACGTTTGCATTTGTGATGCAACTAAATACTGAACGACGACTTTGTATTAACGTAGGAATATTTAACTATTAAATATTTTAGTGCATTTAGTACGATGCTTAATCGAAACAAAATTATTTTCGATACTCCTTTATTGTTTTATCAAATCAAGATTTAAAAATATCAAGCAGCTGCTTTTTGCCTGGGCATTTTTTAATCATTTTCTTTTTGAAATGGAATTAGAATAAAATGAATAGGCATTTTCTGAGAAGATAAACTTGTTTTCCATAAGAATTCCAAAAAAATTTGGACTAATGATAATTGTAAAAAAGTTTTTTCAGCATCAATTAAAAACTAATTAAAAAAAACGCATTTTGTTCACAGAAATGCACTATGTCGTCTGTCCAGGTAAAGTTAATAAAAAACATATAAAAATCAAGTTTTGCAAAGCAATTCATATTATATTATTATAGGGGAAACAAGGTATCATAAGTTTGACATTTTTTCCCCCACAAATATTTGCAATTAAATTTGAAAATATTAGGTTGATGCAAAAATTTCTAGAATTTTCTCCATCTCTTTAAAATATTCAAAACCGTTCTCTGACGGATGGCATCTAGAAGTTCCTTGTAGGGTATGTAAATGAAGAGATCTGAGGTATACAATCTAAAATATATTTCTGGCCCACCAGTGGCCAAGTGGTTCCATTCCCTGAACACTGGGAGTTTGGTCGTGGGTTCGCACTTGGTCAGGACGGGCTGGTCACGTGGAATTTTCCGGGTTTCTCCACGCCTGTAACGCCCGAATAGGGACCAGTTACCCTTAAAAAACCTCTTGAAAGCATTCCTCCTAGGCAGACGCCCAAATGTTGCGTTGCCGTAAATGAAAACGAACAAACAGAAAACATATTTTGTGGGGATACCAACTTTTTAAATATCTCAAGTTAGCCAATGCTTTCACGTGACCAAATTTGCATACAGGTGCGAATTTTATCTCTGAATTATCAATTTGGTATAAAATCATCATTATAGCTGATGAAAAATGGTGCCTGTATGCCAACTTAGTGCATAAGGCTGTGGACAGACAGCACGGATAGTGCCAGACAGGAATTGCATCGGCGCAAAGTTATGCCGTATATTTAGTGGAATGTTTGTGGACCAGTTTGTTGTGAGATGTATCCGTGGAATACCACTAACTTCCTACTGCGCTCGGCTGCAATGCTTGGTTGATGTCATCCACCCTATGCGGACACAGATGAAAATCATGCTTTTTTTGTGACAATGCAAGACTGCACGTGTCAAGGTTGACCCAGAAGAAAACCGCTTGATCTAGGGTTGACGGAGAACCTCACAACCACATATAGCTCAGACATTAACCATCTGACTACCATCTCTTCTGGCACAGTAAGCAGTTTGCTGACGAGAGAGAGAGATGAAAAGCAAACTTGCAGATTTAGACTCAAAACGGCCCAAGTTTTATTTGACAGGAATCCGTGACTTGCCCAATTGATAGAGAAAAAGTGCTTGAATGTAATGACAATTATTTTATATCAAAAACAAATACACTAGCAATGAGTTACACAATTTTCCCGGCAACATTTCAAATTTTGGAGGCGCCATCTGTTATCACAGTTAAAAATGTGAAAAGTTTTTAAATAAATTATTATAAAATGGCAAAATGCTCAATTTTGAGGGTCAGGATGAGTTTTATAAAAGTTGTAAATGCTACTAATAACTAAGTCATTAAGTTCTACCTTATTGGAGATACACACGATCCCCATTATCTCCCCACCCTCGACCTCTAACTACCGAAATTTAATAGCATCGATGCCCCTAATAAACAAACCTCCCTGCAAAATTTCAGAAATTTTCGACAAAAAGCACAGGAGTTATTAAAGCTTAAAAGTGAACAAAATCGTGCCTCCACACAAACACAGAGAGAAAGAAATTACCCCTGAAATTTTTAGTATACCTTCAAAGTCAAGAAATACGAAGTCGAAAAATGTAAAAATCTTGGAGGGGGTCATTTTTTGACCGATTGCCATACTTTCCCTCTGTTGCAGCTAGGAAAGTAAAAATAATTTAATAAGTGATAGTTACCAATAACAATTATTATTGCGAAACAATGAGGGGTGGTTATTTTATAATAATTATAATTTTAGTATTTATATTAAAAAATAATTTATTCAAATGTTGTACAGGCACACACCAAATTTCTGGAACCCTTGACAGATGAATTATTTTGCTGGACTAACCATGGTCACATATACATAACAACGTTAATTCAATCAATCAACATACTGTACTTCTAATCCACTAATTATACATCTCTCAAGTGTGGAAAATATACCAGGGGTTGCTAGAAACTTTACTAAACTTTTTAATTACATTTAATATTTGTTTTTAGTTCTTCAAATATTTATGATTTAAAGTTGTCATACAGCTTCTGCCCTCAAACACCACTGTTCATTTTTTTATAACAGTTCTACTTTACCTTTAAATTGATATAGACTGATGTTTATGTTTGATACTATCATTGATGCTCTCTCATCTCTCTTACTTCCATAGCTAATGTTAAATTTTAACAAAATGAACTAACATTATTTACACTGTGCTTGTTATATTTTAAGTAAGTGCACCGCACCCTACACACAATGTCATCTGTGGCTGTGAGAATTTCAAGTTCCCCTCTGATAATTTTGTCTGGTGCCAGACCATCAGTTGGTGGATCTGTATTACAGAGCTATAGAAAATTCCAGAAACTTTTGCATCAATCCAGTAAGTATATATATATATATATGTATTTCTATAGAAACTACCGTATTTACTCACATATAGTACAAGGTGTGACTTTAAAGATCAAAATAAAGAAAATTAGATTTATTAATACAATTCTAATTTTATTTCGTTTAATCACGAATAAAATATCAAATGAATGTAAATGCACACATTGTCCTGCAAAAATTAGTGGCATTTTAAACTTTAAGGAAAAATCTTGTAAAATCGACAACATAATTAGTTCATGTAAAGCTGGACAATTGGGAACCATTTTTTGCCAATTCTTAACAGTTGAATCCACTCTCCGTCAATTACACTTATGAGTTTCTTTGAATTCTGATTTCTGAATAATCATGTTTTCATGTGGAAATGAATTAAAACTTATATCTGGCTCCCATGTGATTTTGAAATTTCAATTTGAAATTCAATTCAAAAGCTTTGTTCTTATTGCTATTCATCTTTACTCCTGACAATACACAAGAATGATTCAAATGACACAGATAAAATACTTTTGTTTTTAAACAGCAGAAGGTGAGCATCTGGTAAAAAATGCAAATACACAGTTCACAAAAATTATTGCAAAAATGCAAAGATTTCTTCGCTCACGCGTATAGGACGACCTAGGTTTTTCAAGCAGTGAAAAATGAATAAAAACCTTGTCTTATATGCGAGTAAATATGGTATTTACATCAATTACAAATGTAACAAAAGTTGAGTCAGATTATTGAAAAACTATATAAGGGTGATCTAAAAGTCAGTAAACATTTAAGCAATCACTTTCAGTGAATTTTTGGCACATGATAATGAGATTAGCATGGAAATGCATAGAATCATGAGGGTTTTTCCCAGAAAATTGTCAATTGAAAGTAATTTTAAGTCCTTCAGTACATTAAGAAGAATTACATTAGAAAGGTGTCTGCTTTTGAAACTGTCACTATCACAGGTCAGCACACTAATTTGGAGGAAAGGCAAGAATTGAATGTCATGACATTCATACAGGATGGGAAACCATCCCATGTTGCTTCTCCTTTGAAACAACTGTTACTATCATCTTTTGGAGAGAAACAAGTGGTAAGCTGACACTTTCAGAATCAGCAGCCACCTAGATTTCCAGACCTGATGCTCTGTGATTTTTGGTTATGGAGCTACCTGAAATCACAGGTTTACAGAGATAGTATTGCCAATGACTTTGGGCAAAAAGACTATACGATGGGCAGTATCAATAATACTCATACTTCGAGAAATGCTGTTTCTTGCTATCCTCAATGTTGTTACTTATCTTTAGGCCATCCATAACAATGAAGTATGCCACACTGACATTTGCTATGATGTGGTTCTTAATGTTGTTATGGATCAAAGTTTTACCTGGTGGACATAATTAAAACTAATTCTGGCACTTTTCTGGATGAAACCCAGTGATTCTATACATTTTCACATTAATCACATTATCACACACCAAAAATTCACTGAAATATGGCCTTTTCAAATTTTAAT